TAAGAAGGCTTTCTTATCTCTCCTTGCTGTTCTCTGGAACTCTGCATTCAGTTGGGCAAACCTTTCCCTTTCTCCTTTGCCTTTCACTTCTCTTCTTTCCTCTGCTATTTGTAAAACCTCCTCAGACAACCACTTTGCTTTCTTGCATTTCTGTTTCTTTGGGATGGCTTTGGTCACCACTTCTTGTACAATGTTATGAACCTCTATCCATAGTTTTGCAGGTACTCTGCCTACCAGATCTAATCCCTTGAATCTATTTGTCACTTTTACTGTGTAATCGTAAGGGATTTGATTTAGGTTATGTCTGAATGGTGAATGGTCTATTTGTTTTCCTTACTTTGCTTAATTTAAGTCTGAATTTTGCAATAAGGAGTTCATGATCTGAGCCACAGTCAGCTCCAGGTCTTGTTTTTGCTGACTATTTAGAGCTTCTCCATCTTTGGCTGCAAAGAATATAATCAATCTGATTTTGGTGTTGACCATCTGGTGATGTCCATGTGTAGAGTCATCTCTTGGGTTGTTGGAAGAGGGTGTTTGCTATGATCAGTGTGTTCTCCTGACAACAGTCTGTTAGCCTTTGCCCTGCTTCATTTTGTGTTCCAAGTGCATTAGCTCTGGAGTAATTTAAACCCTTGGGAAGCTCTGTGGGATGTGATCCCAATTCTGACAGAGCTGGTGTGTTAATGAAATGGAAGTCCCCTCTGGCGGGGTGCAGAGCTGGCCCCCGCACTGCCCTGCTCCCTGACCAGTGGGCGACTGCCCTGCGTATCTTGCGAACATTCAGCTCCGGCACACGCGGGTCACCCAGCTGAGCTGACGCTTAGTCAGCCTTTCTGGGAGGAAACGAGAGGCAGGACAGTAGGACTGATGGCTGCCTGTAGCAAGGCCGGGGTGAGTAAGCACCCTTGTCTCTGGAACACAGGCAGGAGAGGGGACAGCTGTCCTGTGCCCCCCTCTGAGAGCTGCTTCCTCCCAGCTCAAGGCAATGGGGATCCTGGGGGAGGGGTTGACGCAGGGAAGGAGAGACCTCGGGACCGCGGGCTCAGGTCAAACATCCGAATCCTCTGCTGTCCTCCACAGTGGCTGAGCTTCCCACTAGCAAGATACAATGGATGGTGAAAGAGCATGCTTCTTCCAGGCCGGAGTTCAGCCTCCTCAGGGGGTCATGAGAAACTCTAGGAGTGAAAGGGGAAAGATAAGTTCCAACACTGAGGAAAACTGGAATGGACACTGTATCTGTGGGTCCAAAAGCAAACTCAAGGCTCAAGGTTGTCCCCAAATCACCTGCTCAGAGACTGATTGTGATAGAAATGGAAGACGATGTGGTGGAAGAAAGGCAAGCAGAGACCTTGGGACATTCCTGCAAATTGTGTGTCTTTGGTGTGAGCTGGTGGTGGCATGGAAAATGCATGTACTGAGGTGTTTTGAAGGGCAGGGGCTGGCTGGGATGACATAGAAATACTCTTTCTACTGGTTCCTCCTTGGTGAATTTGTAGATGGTCCTCTCCTAAGTAAATATTTTATGTTTGATAGCATTCTACTTATGTTGCTTGATATTGAACCATTCTATGATTGGCATTTCCCATTTTTGAGAAGATTCCAAATAAATTGTGATATTGATTCCACATGGTGTGTATCTTCTCAACCGAGATCATGTGCTCCAGTTGAGGAAATATTCAAGTAATATTGGGAGCACATGCTTGTTTTTCTTTTATCATGATTTATGTAGCACATGTTTTTTGAAAAGTATTTGGGGATTTAGAGAACACTCAGTAGAATTATATTATTCTAGTAGTAAATTATTATTCGTAGTAAATTTAGAGTAATTCTATTGTGTCATTGAAGAATTTTGGGTGCAAAGAATCCATGTACTTCTAAGAGACAAAAATCCTTTTATCATTCTCAAAGGAATTGGATATTGCAGGAATTCCTTGATTAAGGCCAATTATTTTGTTTATAATTCTTTTAGTATCATAAAATATATTTATATTTAAGAGATTATGCTATGAACCATGAGCTGAGTTCAGGCATGAAATTATTCCCCAGTGTCGTCATGGGACGCTTGTTATCCTGTCTCCCCAGATCCATCCAGGGACTGTTGGGATGAGCAGGGGGGTCAGGAGTCCACATTTTGCTGAGGCTGAGCTTGCAGATGGGCTCATCCCAGTGAACAGAGAGTCATTCGCCCTCCAGAAATGTAGCCTCGGGACCATCAGGCCTCAGGTCTACCCAAGTCAAAAAGGTAGACCGGTGTGTTCTTACCTTGATCCATACTGATTGGTTAGAAAACAGTGTGAATACATTTCATGGTTCTGTTTTCACTCATCATTCATCATCTTATTTCTGTAAGTCCTTCTGAGGCAACCCCTGAAAGAGCCTGATGCCCGCCAGGCCTTGTGCGTGGCTCCCCGTGGTGCCAGCATGAAACTGCCATCAAGGCTCTTTGCTGACCTCCCTCCTGAGAGCTCTGTCCTGTTTTCAGCTGGCGCTGGAGAAAAAGAAGAAAGAAAGTGCCAGGTGGGATGGTGACTGCCATCTCCTCTCCCTGCTCCAGTCACAGGACTGCATTTGAAATCACGAGACTGTCTGTGGGCTCCAGGTACTGGCCACCGCATTCTATGTCTCTTGAAAGAAATTATACTTTGGTTTGGCCTCAAGCATCTTGTCTTTTGCAATCCTACGAAGTGGTCAGAGCTACATCTGCCATTGATAGGGATAAAACCAGATATAAAGATAGAATTCCAAATACTCATGGGTAGCCTGAGACAGACACCAGTAAATACAGTATTTCTGTGCATTTGGAAAAGCAAACTATGGTAAGCATGTGCGTTACAGAATCTGATCAAATCTGTTGTTAATATTTTAGCTTTATGCCTGTATGGCTCTATGTGCATGTCTACGTCTCTGCCAATGACAAAAATTAAGGAGACCACCCAAATTTGACATTCTTTTCTTCTTCCAAGTAGATTTGGGATTAATTTAAAAACCCATCATTTGTGAATAATTTTAAAGTGAATTTCATATGCACACATGTATTTTGTATGTTTTATTGATATAACATATGGGTATATATATAGACATATATCAGTTCAGTTCAGTTGCTCAGTCATGTCCGACTCTTTGCGACCCTGTAAACAGCAGCACAGCAGGCCTCCCTGTCCACCACCAGCTCCTGGAGTTCACCCCAACTCAAGTCCATTGAGTTGGTGATGCCATCCAACCATCTCATCCTCTGTCGTCCCCTTCTCCTCCCGCCCTCAATCTTTCTCAGCATCAGGGTCTTTTCAAATGAGTCCACTCTTCACATCAGGTGGCCAAATATTGGAGTTTCAGCTTCAACATCAGTCCATCCAATGAACACCCAGGACTGATCTCATTTAGGATGGACTGGTTGAATCACCTTGCAGTCCAAGGGGCTCTCAAGAGTCTTCTCCAACACCACAGTTCAAAAGCATCAATTTTTCAGCACTCAGCTTTCTTCACAGTCCAACTCTCACATCCATACATGACCACTGGGAAAACCATAGCCTTGACTAGACAGACCTTTGTTGACAAAGTAATGTCTCTGCTTTTTAATATGCTATCTAGGTTGGTCATAACTTTCCTTCCAAGGAGCAAGCGTCTTTTAATTTCATGGTTGTAATCACCATCTGCAGTGATTTTGGAGCCCCAAAAAATAAAGTCAGCCACTGTTTCCACTCTTTCCCCATCTATCTGTCATGAAGTGATGGGACCAGATGCCATGATCTTAGTTTTCTGAATGTTGAGCTTTAAGCCAACTTTTTCACTCTCTTCTTTCACTTTCATCAAGAGGCTCTTTAGTTCTTCTTCATTTTCTGCCATAAGGATGGTGTCATCTCCATATCTGAGGTTATTGATATTTCTCCCATAAATCTTGATTCCAGCTTGTGCTTCATCCAGCCCAGCGTTTCTCATGACGTATTCTGCACATAAGTTAAATAAGCAGGGTGACAATATACAGATATATATATATAGACATATATTTTTCTATGCACATAGCATGGTGGTTGGTAGCACAGAATCTAGAACCTAAATACCTGTGTTCTGGGTTCAGATCTCAGCTCCATTCTTGCTTCTGTGTGAACTTGGGCAACTCAGTTCCCTTCCTTCCTCAGTGTCCTGAGCTGTGAAATAGGAAGAATGACAGGACTTGCCTGTCATGGTGCCAGGAGAGCTAAATGAGTTACTGTTAATACTCATGCAGTGTTAGCAGTGCTGCCGCTGAAATGCTCACTCAGTCACTCACTCCTGCTGGCTCGTTTGATCGTCTTTATAGTCCTGAGGGCTGGTGTGATTTTCCCCTTTTACAGGAAACAGATTCTGCACGCTGAGAAGTAAAGGAACTGGCTGGAAACCACACAGTTTATTCTCTGAACCTTGAGCTCTCTCTGGTCTTCTCAAAGAAGCTGAGGCATTTTGTGAAGGAAGGAGTGTATCCTCAGACGTTTCTCTCCATTTCCGTGGAGAGCATTTCCAAGTTGTTGTCCCTACTATCACCATCCTCCTTGTCCTGGGAGGACCTGCATTTACTGCTTTTCTATTTGAAGAGGGAGAGCTAAGCCCATGCATGTTTCCCTACTCTGGCCGTTTGCCTGTGAAGCACCGAATTTGAACCCCACCCTGCGGGAAATGATGGGTGGAATGTGTTTCTTAAATTTCGTCCTGGTGGCTGGAGGCTGGTGCTGCAATGCAGACTGACTTCTCCTCACTCACTTCAGTGGCCCCCAGGCATGCCTTCCGGGGCCTGCCTGGCCCAACCTGGGCTCCCAGGGTCCTATTCCCAGAGCCGAAGAAAACTCCACTGAGACAGTGAGCCTAATAAACACATATGGAAGGGGATTAGAAACAAAAACAAGTGTGCCAAATGTTGTTAAATCCTAAGATTTTGGATTTTTGGGACCTGGAACATTTCACAAAATATCAGAAGATGTTGCAGTTATGAGTCAATAGATATCCCTCGAAGATCATAGTGACTCATCATGGTGGCTCAGACTGTAAAAAAATCTCCTGCAATGCAGGAGACCTGGGTTCAAAGCCTGCATGAGGAAGATCCCCTGGAGAAGGGAATGGCTGCCACTCCAGTGTTCTTGCCGAAAGAATCCCATGGACAGAGGAGCTGGGCAGACTATAGTCCGTGGGCTCCCACAGAGTCGGACACTACCGAGCGACTAACACCTTCTCCTTCCTCTTTGTGCCATCCGAACAAGAAGGTCTTCTGTGTTCACAGAAGAGCTCTTGGGAGAGGTCACTGCAGTGGTTTCTGTCGATCACCACCCCAGCAAACGCAGCTTTCCTTGCGGGAAAAGCCCCAGCACCCCAGTGAGAGGCGCGTGTTCTTCCTCTGAGAGACCGTGGCCCTCACGGTGCCCTGCTTGCTGTTTGCGTGATTCTGTAGTTTAAAAGCGCATGTGTCTGTACTTACTTGATTCACGCTCACAGCTGAGCCTGAGGCAGGAGGGCCCACGTGGTGCATCTCGTCTCCCAGGCACCGGCCTCGATGGCTGGGGTGTCCATGGCAGGGTCTGAACTTGGACCAGAGCGTCCAGCTCTGGGGTTTGCAGACCCTGCCTTGCAGCACTGCCTCTGCCCTGGGAATTTTTATAATTCTTTGTGAGTTTTCCAACTCAAGGCCTCTAAGAATTTCTCCCTTCACTCTTGGGTGAGGCTACCTTTGGAAGATACACAGTTAACTGCTTCAGAGTGAGTCAAAGAGTGGCTTTCGGTACGTTCACGATGGTGTGCTGCCACCACCATCATCTGGTCCCCAAACAGCCCCACCCCCCAGAAGGAACTGTGTACCCGAGGCGGTCACCTGCCCCCCAGCCAGCCCCCAACAGCTGCCACTGTGCTTTCTGTCCCGGGGACTTGCCTGTTTTGGGCCTTCCGTGTAAACGGAGCAATGCCCCCGGGCCTTTGGTCTCAGCCTCTCACTGCGCTCGTGTTCCCATGGCTGGTCCACACTGCAGCCCGTGTCAGTGCCTCGTCCTTCTTGGGCAGAATCACATCCCATGACGTGGATGGGCCACATTTGTTTGTCCACTTGTCAGCTGGTAGAAAATAACCTGAATGGTGGTTCCCACCTTTTGGCTTTGAGAATGGCGCTGCTGTGAACATGCATGCATGTGTATGTTTGATGTCTAACATTCTTGAAGTCTTTCCCAAAGGGAATTTTGTATTTGGAATCAAGTCAACATTTTTAGACAGTTAATGTGACAAGCAAAGGAGGATTATTTGTATCATGATAATTGGGGCTTTGATGTTCATTTTTAAGCATAAATGGTTTTTTATAATTCTCCCAGTACTTGTAAACTGCACCTGCTTTCCTAAATTCTGTGATTATCATGGGCAATAGTATTTGTGGATGAGCATTTTACAAGTATTAAACATGTAAACACTTCACTATGAATACTTGACCTGATGCCAGAAATTTACCATGGGTTCTCAGTGTCTTCAGGGAATTAGAATTCAAAGTGGTCAGAAACCAACAAAATTTTAAAATGCTCCCCTTTTATGGACCTAACTCAAGGTTGAAAGCCTAGAGGATCAGATTCAGCAAATATTTAAACAACTTTATCTAGGCTACCAAAGGAGATTTCTGGAAATAGCAGGGTGGATAAACAAACTGAAAAGGCATAAGAATGACTTTTATGCTATTTATATTAAGCGTTAAAGATATTTTCCTTATATTCTGTTCCTAACTAGAGACAATACACATTTTCAAAATACTGTCTTAAAATGTATAATATGGACTTTTATTTGTTTCATGTTAATGGTTTACATCTTCAAGTATAAACTTGAATTATTATAAATTATAATTATCATTAAATTATTTTATTTTAACTCATAGGCTTAGACTTATGGATTATTAATTCAATCTGTCAAGGACACTTGGAACAAATTAGGGGGGAGTGGCTGCAATCACAATTTATTAGTTTAATTATTTATTATCTACTTAATTCACATGAATTTTATTCAATCTTTTATTACCATCTGGTTCGTCTGATGGAAAAAAGATAGTGGATCATCTCATGACTTGTCGATGTTGGGGGTAATTTTTTAGCATTTACTGTCTGCTCTTCTGTAGAGATGTGTATGGAAAAACTTAAAAAAATACCACAGCATGACAAAGAGTGAAATATTCATCTTGTGAGGAAATTTATACATTCCTGGGGGACCCTGAGAAAATGTCTTTATGGATACAGAAGGGCTTTCGATCAATTTACAGTTAAGAGAGACTGTGATAGAGGGCTGAGCCACGGCCCTAAAAAACAGAAAACATTAGTTGAGAGAGCAACTTGGAGAAAGGATTGTTGGAGAAAGTGCCCAGGGCATGTGTACCAGTCACGGGGCCTTGTCCAAGAAGGTGGGTCGTGTACAGTCCTCTGAGGACCACGTTTCCTATAGGTTGCTCCTCTTTCTCATGGGATGTGGATTCCCTTTAGTCTCTCAATTCCTGACAGTCCTTCACGCAGCTGAGTTGTCATTTACATCAGATGAACACACTTCGATGGCATCGAGGGTCTGTGGTTTGGGTTAGGGCAGACATTTCTGGCGTTGGCTGATATTTTGCCTCTTTTAAGCCGCCCTGCGCACCTGCCCTCACACCACAGAGAAGCTGAGAAGGCAAACGCAAAGCTCTCTGAGGTGAGCAGGGACGGGGTGAGGGAAATGCCAGGATGCCCGCCTAGGAATAATCTGGGCCCCCTGACAGCTGCTGAAACCGGGCTTTGAAAGCGGCCGGAGCGGAACCTTGCTGGCTGCCCTGTGGATGCTGAGACGGCGCCGTCCAGGCGCGCTGCTGCTCGTCCTGCTTGAGAGGGCTCAATGCCTCACCTGCCGGCAGGTGCCTGCTGCCTTTCCCAAAGGAGGCTGCCCCACGCGGGTTTAGCCCTGGGTTCTCGAAGCCGAGAGGCCGGTGAGGAGCGAGGCGGGGCCTGGGGCGGCGGGCGGGGCCTCCTCCCACCGCGGGTGTCCTGGGCGGACCCTTCCGAGCTTGGGGCCGCAGCACCGGGCTTGGGGCCGCCGGTGCTGCGGCCCCAGGACCACCCAGCCCTGCCTGTGGGCCTGTGGATGCAGAGTGGTGTGGGCAGGCCCTTCGCCTTCAGGAGACGGGGACGCGGCCAGGGCCTGTCCTTCTGGACATGCATCGAGTTCGACTTCATCGGGAGACTCGTCCTAGAGCACTGGGGGCAACTCTGATTTTCCTGTTGCCGTAAGCACCGCGTGCGCTTTCCCCACCGCACGTACCGCGGAGACCGAGGCGTCGGGACATAGGGCCTGAGGGGGAGAAGGCTGCACCCCAGCTTCTGCAGGACAAGTCACAGGGCCAGCAGCCGGGACTGTCTGCATGGCCCCAGCGATGCAGCTGAGGGCCTGCCCGAGAGCCCCTGGGACCCCCACCACTAGGGCGGCAGTGACGAGTGTTAGCGGTGTGTTTTCTGAAAATTACTACAAAAGCGGTCTCCTTGAGGAAGCATGTATGCGGCCTGATGTGTAGGGGTGGGGGTCTCCCCTTTGACCTGGTCTGACCTCCTGGCACCTCGGACCTTCAGTCTTCACACCTGAGCCTGGAGACCCAGGACGCAGAGGCTCACCCCAGCTACGGGTGGTGCGGGGTTTCCCCGTCTTCCTCCAGGCGGTTTCTAGACATCCCCGTTGACTTGGCGCCCCGTTCCCGTCTTCAGAAGAAGGGGAAATACTGTCTTCTCAGACATCCAGGAATGATAAGTCACCGGAAGGAAGGCCAATAAAAGAAGATTGTATAAACCAGATCACATATGCCTTAAACACAGACAGTTTCATCTGCTGCCGGCCTGGAAGGCTCCTCACGACCTGGGGCCCCTCCAAGGGCTCATGCTAGAGGCTAGGCTGTTCTGGGCATCAGGTTCGTGAGCTGCTGCCTTCAGAGGTTGATTCTCTCCGGGAAGAAGAACGTTTCCCTTCATGGATGCCGTTGCTAGCGGACCTCCACTGCCGAGAGGGAGGAATCTGGTTTTAAGGAAAGAGAGCTCCGATTCTGGCAATAACATGTGGCAGCTGGACCAGGAGCTTGGGATATATTTTCATTTTAGGTGTTTTGCTCCTGAATGGAACTGACGGTCAGAGATCTGGTTTCCACATTGCTTTGTGTTAATAAAAATGGGAGAGGCGAGGACGCGTCTTTAGCTTCCCATGTGAGCCCCTGAAGGGAAAAGCACTTTTTGGATGGACTGTAGCATATTTTGCAGTGTGCTGAAATCAGCAGCTGGACGCATGGAGTGCAGTTGTGGGCCCAACTGTTGGCACCGGCGGAGGTGTGCCTCGACCTCCCCAGCCGGCTCTGCCTCCAGACGGAGGATGGGGTCCGGGAGGGGACTCCCGTGGGTGATGAGCTCAAGTTACTGTTTCCCACTCTTCTGCCAACTGGACAAATAGCGGGTAGTGACAGAGGACTGCCTCCAGCTTCTCCATCCAGACACATCAAGGAACCGAAGGCTGTCTCCCACCAGCTGTCACGCCCTGAAAAGCTGCAGCGTGGCACCCTCATCACGGCAAGAGCAATGTAGAACATAGATTCAGTTGAATTAAAAGACTCTAGAGCTAATGCCCCTTCTACACAAAGGCAGAGGACACAAGCAGGCAGCCTTGTGGGGTTATATCTACTGGGTTGTGATTGTGGGCAGTTCTTCTCTAGTCAATGCAAGCTCAGGGAGTGAAAAGAATTAAACCCAGGGTCTCCTCCAGGTCGAGCAGGACCTTCTCCCTCGATGCAGTGCCCTGCAGTGACTTTCTCAGGGCACCTTCACTTTCTAAGGCCTGAAAGGAGCTGTGGCCCCTCTCTGACTCCAAACCTTGGTGGAGGCTCCTGGAAGGGCTGTGAAAGGTTCTGAAGGCAGAGGAGGCTGCCCAGCTGTTCAGGGCATTGATGGGGCCTGTCTGGTTATCACTGTTTCACTTCTCTCCCTATTGAAGTGGAAGGGCATGGAAGGCACCCCTGTCCAGATTCTCCGTGAATTTCCCTCAGCAGCTCCTGCCTGGCCATGTGTAACCTCAGTTCACTGTAAAGTCTTTCACTCCTAGTAGCCTTTCTCTACTAACCTCTAGCAGGTGACTTCTCGGCTAGACCAGAAGCCCAGTTCCTTGGTCCAGGGCACCCTCAGGGTCTCAGTATTTCTCATGATGCTCCTGGCTTTACCAGCCCTGACCAGCTTGCAGTTCCAGAGACCTCCAGTGGCTCATGTATTTTCAATACTTGGGACTATCAGTCACTAAATTTAGCCATGCTGGTGGGTAGTAGTATCTCCTTGTGATTTTAATTTACACAGATTTTCCAATCTTTACTCCTCAAATATGTTTACTCTCCCAC